CCTGCTCATCCCTGCTCAGCTGCCTTTTTAGATGTCAGATCTTACCAGCAGCCAAGTGATGGATATTTTCCTCTGCAAACAATTTCTCACGCGACTTCTAATTTTCTTATTCTTGAGAACTTAAAGATGAAGGGGTTGCTTAGAGGATCAGTGGTTCCATCACAGACACACTATTAAGTTTAGTGTACATACATGGACAACAAGAAAGGCTTTATCTCCCCATGTAAACACAGACTTCCCTGTTCAGTACTTTCACCTTTTTCCCCAAATGAAGCCTCCCAAGTGCAGCTTAACACAGAAGGGCCTGAAATTACAGACACTATGCTTTTGTGAAGATTCAGGAGCACTATTTTATGGAAGATTTTAGGCAAGTCTTGCATTTTTTCAGGAGGTCACCACATTTCTATTTATGACCACATGTCACATATTTTTGCGCTGGCCTAATTTTCTTTCTTACAGATAAAACAAGATAAAGATCTTCTAACTTAGCAGCATGAAATGTAAACATTGGAACTACGTAAGGGAAAAATATTATTGACACTATAAAAGGTTCTACTTTATTATTTTTTTTGTAGAGACCTATAAACTAAGCAACTCAAGGGTTAGCCTGTGCCAATTAACTGATACATAAATGGCTACAGCATGTGAGCAAGCAGTTCTGATGATTAGTTGTGCACTGTGTGTGACATATAAACACAGTTATGCAAAATATATAGAGTGAAAATTGATCTGATTACCCACACTCTATGGTTTGTTAATTTTTATACAGATTTAGACATCATTGTTGCTTTTTCACAGTGCCATACATAAGAAAGATTAAAAGTCACAGTGAGGAGACCTCTTTAAAGCACGCATAGTAATGTGAATTTGTATTGTGTGCACAATGAAGTGATAGCTTACATGGCATAGCAGGTCTACATAATATCACTATAATCCTAATCAGCTTTTCCATGAAAAGACATAATCTTTACAGCCCTATTTAATATAAAAATTCTACCCTGAAATACTTACAAGTGTAAAAATTAGCTTTTCTTTCAGATCATGACATCAAATTTGAGCTCAGTAATAATCAAGCCATCACACCCATGTTTCTGAGGAGGCAGTTTCCTTGGCACCACTGTTCCACTCCCCACCCTGAACCAGGAGAAGGGATGCTCCTGTCATCCTACTGACCATTTACTGAGCTGAGCTCCCCAGTTCAGCAATGCCATTGCAAGGAAGCCTGTCTATCTATTCAGATATTGCAGGGCAGGGACAAGAAAGCCACAAACAGCCCAGATACTCTTTCCCAGTGCAAAGAAACAATGAGCACAATGTCTGTCCACATTTGGAGTATTTTATGTAGTCGTGCATAGTTAGAATTGCTGAAATATGGTAAAAATAATTAAATTCATTTTGAGAAATCTGAAAGTAAAAGGAAACTCTGTTCCCACCAGGAACTTAACAGACAAAACAGTGTTTTGCTGAGCCTAATGAGAGACAGGAATGCTGTTTCACATTACACAGGCATGGGACATTGTCAGGACTGGCTGACCATGCCCTCTATGGGGGCAAACTCTCAGCTGCCCTTGAGACACTGAGGTGCTGGGCTTTCCTTCCTGGGGAAGAGAGATGTCCTTTGCAGCCAGGAACCCCTGCCCAAAAGTGGGATTCTGCCTCCTAAAATTGCAAATGTCTGAGGATTGCTCTCAGACAAAAGCTGCCAGGACTTATGGCTCTGGCTGGCCTTGGCCTCCCAAGCAGCACCCAGGACACTGGGGTGGAAAGTTTTCCTCCCTGTGGAAACACCTGAAACACTGGGGCTATTTGCTTTCCTTCATATGGAAAAGAACTGTCACTCTTTTCCAGCAGCTCATGGAGGAAATTTAGAATCTACTTCCAAAATTCTATACATCCAAGGTTGCTCCCAGACTAAAGCATCCAGGACAAACAAGTCTGGCTGGTCTTGACCTCTTGTGGGCCACCTCACATCTACACCAGAAACATTAGGGACATACTTTCCTTCCTATGGAAAAGAGCTGTCTTGTACTTCCAAAAGCTAACATCTGATGTTTGGATTGGACCTCTAAAATTTAACACATCAATGACTGCTCCCAGACAAAACATGCTAGGACAAATGGGCCTGGGCCTTGACCTCCCCTGGGCTGCCTCTCATCTGCATTGAAACACCAGGTCTACATGCTTTCCTTCCTATGGAAGAAAACTCTCATTCTGGTCCAGGAGCCAATGGCCTAAATTTGCATTCCACCTCCAAAATTCAATATAATTGCTCCCATCAGAAAGTGGCCAGGACAGAGGAGTATTGCTGGCCTTGTCTTCCCGTGGGCTGTGTCTCCTCTGCACCCGAGTCATGGTGGGTATGGGCCCCAGGACAAAAATCTTCCTCTTAACGTGCCCCCTGTACCTAGAAATTTGTATTTGTACCACAATCGTGTGACAGTCCTGTTGCCTTTTCAGCATGTAAACTGCAGTCACACTACGGTGAGAAACGACTGCTCACTTTTAAATTTTAAAGGTTTATTAAGCCTTAACGAAAAATACAACAAAAGGACTAAACCAGGAAAAATTATAGCACTGGCAGGCCCCATGAATATCAGCCATGTGCCCATTTACTAAATGGCTGCTCTGCCTTTTATACCCTTAGCCCCTGCCGAAGTTTTGTCAGTCAGTCCTTCTCTGCCATCCATGGGTGGAGATCACTCTCTGCCACACCTCCAGGTAATATACTTTTTTTCTTACCCGGTAAGATACTTTTTTTAAACAGAGGAATGAGGTACTCGCACCAAGATAGCAGCCACAGGACACCTAAATCTTTCAGAGAAAAAGAATCTATTGCTCCTTTATCAGAAGAAACTAACTTTGTCCTGCCTCGCTCAGCCCTGCAGATGCTGTCAGGATTCAGAGGAAGAAGCTGACACTGACCAGACAGAATCCTTTGTTTGAATGGAATTTATGCATCATGTATGAGATGTATGAATATGCAACAGGCTATTGTTTTTAAGGGTTAATCCTCTGTTATCATGTGTCCTTTTCAGGCTTATTTTACCCAGAAGAAAGTACCCGGACTGGCCGTAACTCTTTGTTTTTATTATCTCGTATTGTCCTAATCCTAATTGTCCAAATTTTTATTACTCTAATTTAATTACTATTTTTATAACCATTTTATTACTATTAAACTTTAAAAATTTTAAAAACAAGTGATTGGCGTTTTTCACACCACCAACTTGTCACTTTGTTCCGATAGGGTTTGTGGCAATCTCATGTTGACCAGTTATTTACCTGATGCTGTTGCATTTGCCAGGGCCTCACCACCCTCACAACAGACAACTCTGTCTGCACATAGTTTTGAAAACTCCAGTTATGGAATTAAAACCAGATAATGATGCATTTTTAACACAGTTTTGCAGCTGGAATTTGGGGGTACAGGTCTGTAACAGCCTCCTTGGGTGCAATGACAGCCTTTACCTATCTGATTGCCAGGATTAAAGCAAGGTGCTTCAAAGGGACGTGGGACTGCTGATGGAAAAAACACTGCAACTGAGCTAAATATTGTTAACCAAACACCAGAACAGACCACGCTGAAGGATGTTGCCACATTTCTCTTCAGAGAGAAAAGCAAGGCACAATTCTTCCCAGGAATATTTCTGGGTTTCACATTCTCTGAACATCAGAGAAAGGGAAAACACAATTCCTATCACTTGCTGTGCCTGTGTTGTGCCAGAGTAGAATGCAATACGGAGATTGTTTATCCAAAATGAGGTCGTTTTGTTTCCTTGGCCCATCAGGGCCAGGACAGTGTGTGTTTGGGACTGTCACAAGACAGTCACGGGAGAATCAGAGATGAGTGCAGTTCTCTGCAGTTGTGAGCAAGAGTGAGTGCGAGACAGATCCAGTTTAGATGCAGTGCATCTAGTATGGAATAATAAAGTAATTATTTAGCCTTCTGATGATGGAGTCAGACGCATCATTCTCCCTCCCCTCGTCGGAGTGGCCTTTGATTTCCGGCAGAAGGACCTGGAAGTTTTTACGCTCTGGCTTTAAGATATTTTAAAAAAAGAGAGAGACAGAGAGAGAGATTCGCAGGGGAGGAGCGCTGTGGGTGTTGGCGCTGTGGCCCGCTGAGGGCAGCCGGCTGTGAGCAGCAGCGGGGCTGCCTTGCTCTCCGGCAGGTGACCGTGCCCAGGCGGCCTGTGCCACTGTGCCAGCCGCTGTCCCGGCAGGTCACCGTGCCCAGGCGGCCTGTGCCACTGTGCCAGCCGCTGTCCCGGCAGGTGACCGTGCCCAGGTGGCCTGTGCCACTGTGCCAGCCTCTCCGGCAGGTCACCGTGCCCAGGCGGCCTGTGCCACTGTGCCAGCCGCTGTCCCGGCAGGTCACCGTGCCCAGGCGGCCTGTGCCACTGTGCCAGCCGCTGTCCCGGCAGGTGACCGTGCCCAGGTGGCCTGTGCCACTGTGCCAGCCGCTGTCCCGGCAGGTCACCGTGCCCAGGCGGCCTGTGCCGCCCGCTGTCCCGGCGTCACAGCCCCGCGCCTCATGCATGATGCCTCGGCCCCCCCCGCCAGCCCTGCCGTGCCCTCAGTGGAGCCGCCCAAGGTAACGCTGCCGTCTGTGCCTTTTTCTTCTGTTTTGTTTTGCGTTTCCCTCACTGTAATGTTTTTCATCTCTAACACCTCTACCGCCGGTACGTTTTCAGAGCACTAACTGCTTGATCTGCGGGTTAGCCAGGTCGCTTTCTGCTGTACTGAGAGCTGCCTGCTGTGTTTCACACACACCCGCAGCTGGGCGCTCTTGCCTCTCAGGGTTCTCAGCACTTTTAGGGAGCCGCGGCCGCTCCCATTCCCAGATCGGGATCTAGGGGACAGACCCGCTCACACCCCGCCGCCCACCCTCCTGGAGCTTTGAGCGGAACGGCCGCGATTTGGGAGCAGATTCTGGTCGGAATCTGCATTTCGGAGCTGCGCGGAACCTCGGCGGCGGGGCGGCTGTTTCCCGGGCACGGGAGGCTCGGCTCCTTCTGGAGCGCGTCCGGCTCGCTCCCGGAAGCCGGCAGGGAACTGGGAGCGGCGGGAGCGGCTGTCCCGGCCCGGCTCCTGAAGCCGGCAGGGAATTGGGAGCGGCGGGAGCGGCTGTCCCGGCCCGGCTCCTGAAGCCAGCAGGGAACTGGGAGCGGCGGGAGCGGCTGTCCCGGCCCGGCTCCTGCTCCTGCTCCCGGCAGCAGACAGGGAATTGGGAGCGGCTGTCCTGCCCCGGCTCCCGCTCCCGGCGTGGTTCTCACGGGGAACCGGCGGGCTCGGGAGCTGCATTCCTTTTCCCGCGGCTGCCTTTGGGTGTTTTCAGACCCAAAAGTGTCTGGAAACACTCGCCTGGTGACCTGGGGTTTCAGCCGGCGAATAGAACTCTTATTTCACCGATAAACCCGGAGCGTGTTGAGCAGCAAAGATGTGGGATTAGAAGTGGCTCCGATGTCCCCTCGCGGCGCTGGGAGTAAGGACCCAGCTCCCATCCCGGCTGCCGCGTTGGGAAGCAGCTGTCCGAGCCCGCGGTCAGCCCCGGGGGATGTCCCGGGGCAGCTCCCGGTGCTCGGAGCACGGGCAGCTTGGATCTCCATCCCTTAGCACGGCTCTGTGAGGAGCGGGGATCGCTGCTCCCGCTGCCTGGCGCCTTCCAGCAAGCAACTTCAGGAGCTAAAAGGAAACAGCGAGGTCTGAAATGTTGGTATTGACGGCAGCCCCTGGTGGGGTGTTTTTATTAAATGTGGGGAGTTGTGATTAATAAAGCTTTCTTGAACGGGGTTAGAAAATAAGAACTGTCTTTAACACAAAGCTAAGGCGCGCTTCCTTCCTGTGTTGTTTTTGCATTGTGCGTTTTTTGGTTTTGCATTTTTGTTTTGGCATTTGTTTTGCACATTGTTTTTGCATAGTGTTGCCAGGTATGAAGGGAGCATGTTTTAGGGGTGATTATGGTGATGGCCTTGGTGATCCAGGAGGTTTCTGCCAGCCTTGATGGTCCTGTGTGTGATTTTGAAGTGCTTTGCCCTAGACACATTATTGTCCTGATTTTTGGATGTGCTAATGACAGCAGGGGGGCACCTCCATAGGGTGCTGTTGGTCAGCGAAGGGAGTACAGAGAAAATAAATACTACAACAAGAAAAGATTTTTTTCTGCCTTAGAAGACACCCTGGATGCATTTGCTGAAGACATCTGTGTTTTTGTTGGGTTTTGTTGTTGTTGGTTTGTTTGTTTGGGTTTGTTGGTTTGGTTTGGGTTTTTTGGGGGGTGGGGGAGGATTGTTTTGGCTTATTTTTTGGCTTGGGTTGGAGTTGGTTGGTTGTGGTTTTTTGTGGGTTTTAAAATTTTTTTTGGGGGGGGGGGCTTGGGGGGGGGTGCTTTTCTTTTTTTCTTTGTTTTTTGTGGGTTTTAAAATTTTTTGGGGGGGGGGGCTTGGGGGGGAGTGCTTTTCTTTTTTCTTTTTTTCTTTGTTTGTTTGTGTTTGTTTGGTTTGGGTTTTTTTTGTTAAGTCAAATAATCTCCAAATTTGGAGCTTCTTGCTTCCAAATTAGTTTCCAGCACATGAATGAGAGAGCTGGCAACTGCCTTAGGAGCCCTAAGCTCTGGCACAGTGTTTATTTGAGGGATTAGGGACTGCAGTTTGCCATCACCATCACCAAAACCTGTGTCTCAAAACCAAAAAAAATTACATCCTGATACAAAAATAAACCCATGTAATGAAATCTGGGGGTTTCTAAGTAATGATCCCATAGCCAGTTCTCCTGCCAAGTCAGAGTCTTTCTTGTACTTCAGGCATAAGACATAAAAATAACTTATTTTTGTATCATCTATTTTCTCAGCAAGTATTTTAAATAAAATCTTCCCTCATACCCTGCAGTCTGGTCATGTAGCCTGGTGGCTCTCAGAGGGCTTTTTCTGATCAGGCTGTCATATGGAAGTCTGGTTTCCACAACCTGGATTGAATAAACTGATTATTATGAAAAAAAATAGCATCAAGGAACTCATTAATTGACTTGAAATGACTTGTAGTTTTAGTGGGTGTGATAAATTTTATCCTGAATTTAGACACAAGTATTTTTTAGCTGCATGAATAGCTGCATCTCTGTTGTCTCAGTCCTGTGGCATTTGGAAGCTGAACTGGAGTGTGCTGGGTTTGCACACTTGTCCTTTGGCAGGTTTGTTTCCATCAGTGCCTTGCTTCACTGGGATGTGACACATGGAGCCTTGGTGTTAAAACAGTTGGTAGGAATAAAGAGAAAAAATCAGCAGTAATGCATCTGATTTTGGTTTTGGCTTTTTCTAAGGTAGAAGCATTAAAAATTATTTTGCTTTTTGTTTTATTCAGGGCTCAGAGATGGATTCACCAGAAGGGGCCACCATTAGAAGTGAGCAGAAATTCAGGTAACTTGTATTAGAGTTGATACAAAACTGTCTCTTAATGAAAATCTGAAACCACAGCAGGAATAAACTGCTGAATATTGAATACAAGAACAACATCATGCCAGAAAACTTGAAATTATCCCAGAAGCTCATTTCTTCACTGACCAAGTACTTCATGCTCACTCAAGTTGTTTATGAGGAGTAAACAATGAGAGGAGAAAATTTGGGCTAAATGTAGCAGGAAGGCATGGGGCCATCTAACATATTTTATTTGTAGGCACTAGCTGGCAACCATACCTACATGGTTATTGCTTTGCCTGAGGCCATTTCAAGTTGAACATTATAGTTTGACCTGCATAGTTACAGGTGATTGTGAAATAAGATGTGTTAATCATCTTTATTACCGTGTTACCAGGAAAATCTGTAAAGGTAGTTTGGAAAGGCAGGGGAGTTCTGAGTTTCTGTACTACTGAAATCCTTGTTTGCACAGGGTGATTTTGCTGTATGGTTTGCATGCATTCTCACTTATTTGCTGAGCAATCATGAAAGACAGATTTTGCTCACATTCCTCTGTGCTGGTTTATGCAGAGATTGTGGGTGTACCAGCACACCTCTGAGAAGGGGGATCTGTGGGTAGTAATGTCAAAACAGTGAGCTGGGTGAACCTTCATGAACATAGCATCAACCTGCTATGTTCACATACCCTACAGTGATCATAAATGAGAATAAAATATTCCACTTTTTCCCAGAAAAAAACCAAAAGTTTGTTTTCTTGGATTAGTGTGGCTTGTCCCTTTGAAATAGTTCTACTTCCTCTCTATCACATATGTATTATCTCAGTCATTGGACAAACTTTTGCCTACTTTTTTCAAAATTTCATTGGAAATTGTGTTGGTCTTGCCTGGAAATTGGCAATTGTCAGTTTGGACCTCAGAGACAGTAGTGATTTGAAGTTGTTGCCTTTTTTTGGCTGGCATTAACCATGCACATTTATTTGTCTGAAATGGCAAAAAGCTGTGTGTTGGTTTGGGGGATTGGGGGGGCCATGAGTTTCTGTGGCTGCCTAGCTCATCCTGTTGTGTAGGAATGGAGAACTGTGTTCCTGCTGGTTTGTTGGTGTTTTGCAAAAACTTTAATGGCTCAGGTGAACTTCTGGAGTCAATCCCTGAGCTCTTCAGGCAAGCCAGGAAATGCTCCATGAACAGTGAACACTTTCGTTTTCTGTGTTTAAGAAAATTCCTAAAAAGTCTCATAAGAAAGCAGCCTCGGGACCTTCTGCTGGTGATTGGGACGGGGGTGAGTGCTGCAGTGGCCCCAGGAATCCCAGCACTCTGCTCCTGGAGGAGCTGCATTGAGGCTGTCCTTGGAGCAGCTGAGCAGCTGGAGGTGCTGCACCCCGGGGATGTCGCCGAATTCCGTAAGAAAGTGATCAAAGAGAGAGACCTGCTTGTGGTTGCACATGATCTCATCAGGAAGATGTCACCAGTGAGTATGTTTGTAACCTCTGTTAATTTCTAAGCCTACTGTGTGCTTTTGTTCTAAGGGAACATTACTTCCAAAAGTTGATTTTTTTTATGGTGAAAATGGAAATTTTGCGAGTAATCATACAGCACATTTTGCATTTTGGGGAGACTAAAAAATCCCTGAGTTTTAGTATAAGTTAGCATTCCTCAGAATTAATGCAAACAAGAGTCCTGACTATTAAATGTTTGCTGTAGTGTTTTTGAGATTGAAAGAGGAATTTCTAGATCTGTGGCTATAACTGGAGAGACCCTGTGAGTACAGGTAGGCCTTGAGCCTGCTGATGGCCTTGGGCCACACATTGTGAATCACCAGTGCAGATCCTGCTTCCCTGAGGACAGCCCATGCCTGCCCAGTCTCACTCATCCATCTGAGTTTCCAGAGGTTTTCAAATGGTGTTAAGACCTTTGCCAAGCCTTCCTTCTAGTTTAAATAATCTGGGTGACACACACAGTGCTAAGTGTAGGCTGGGGTGAGCCTCTCAACAGCTCCAGTGTGACAATAAGTCTGCGTGTGTTCACAGCAGATTTAATCATTAATAAAGTTTTCTCAGCCAGGAATGAAAACACAGAAACTGCTCCCCTATCCCTCTTTGTACTCTATCCCAGGGATATCCAGAATATGCTGAATAGCTGAATATTGATAAAATACTGGTGTGTCTGAATCCAGGATAAGCTAATTTTAGTTGTTGTACTTTTATTACAAGCTCTCTTGAAAAATCCAGACAATTGTTTGGAGCTACACTAAGCAGAGGCAAGAACACTGGAACGATTTGAGATTTGTTTTGGGTGGTGGACTGTTCTGGTTGGGTGGTTTGGGTTTTGGCTGGTGTAGTGTTCAAGCCCTCTTTTACAGGAATGCTTTGGCATTAAGTAGCCAGGAGGTGTGGGTTCCTGTGGGAGGCAGCACGTGGGGCTGATGCAGTGTTCCTCTCCTCTTCCCTCAGCGTACCGGGGACACGAAGCCCAACTTCTTCCAGGATTGCTTAATGGAGGTGTTTGATAATTTAGAGCAACACATTCAGAACCCTGTGGTTCTGCAGTCCATCCTGAGGCTCATGGAGAGAGGCACAATGGTTCTGACTACAAACTATGATAACCTGCTTGAAATATTTGGTCAGCAACAGGGTAAACCTATGGAATCTTTAGACCTTAAAGATAAGGATAAGGTATGATGAGAGCAGTAAAATTATTAGACTTAATTTATGACAAGTCGGCACATAAGCTGCACTGAAAGATGTTCTCCTGTTTAAAGAGTCAAGACTAAAAGTCTTAATTGTTAAAGCATGTCTATAAGCTACAGCAGATGCCCAGACATTTCTTGTATGTATCTCTTTATTCTGAATAATCTGATAACAGTAGCCAAGGAGAATTTCAGTGACATGTTTGCCAACCAGTTCCCTGCCATTTGCTGAAAAAAAACCACAAATTATTTAACTTGTGTAAAGTCATTGTTAAAATTCCAAATAGAATTTCACCTGGCTAGTAATTAATTTGCTCTAAACTTAAAAATTCATACCTTTTCTGTCAGTGCTGCTGGAACTTGTTTCTTGGTTGACTGGCTGTTTAACCCCAAAAGCCAGAGACAGCTGCAGAATCAGCCATCCCCTCTTTGTTATGATTTAAAGTGAGCTGTGTAATTAGCAATTACAATCTCTTGCTGTAGGAAAGTGCAAAAGGAGTTGTTTCTGCTTTAAGTGGTTTATAAGTCAGTTCAGCTGTATAGTTCTGCAGATTCATGGTGAGTGTGGTATATTATAACAAAAAGATGTATCTTGCGTGATGTGCTTTAGGTTCTCCAGTGGGCAAGGGGCCATGTAAAATATGGAGTTCTTCATATTCATGGCTTATATACAGATCCCTGTGGAATGGTGCTTGATCCCTCGGGATATAAAGATGTTACTCAAGATCCTGAAGTCATGGTTTGTATGATCTTTAAAATTTTGACTGTGTTTTGCCCAACAGTTTTCTTGTAATCGCTGCAGACAAGATATCTAAGGCTCTATGTGGGATCATACAAATTAAATACTGGGGACCAGAGGAACTATTCAGAATTATTCAGGAAGATGGCTCTGTTGCAAGGGCACTCTGTGCCCTTGGGTACTGTGGCTGTGTAAATCACAACCAAACCCCTCAGCTGCATGTCACAGTTTGTATTTATCTCTGGAAAGAGCAGGAGCCTCAAAATACTGGACACTAGGACAAGGATTTATCATATGATTGCTAGGTTTCTTAGGGATTTAAACTGGATTTAATGTCATCTTAGCTGTCATAGAAAGTCAAACTTTTGGTCAGGAATATTCATTTTCCGTATTTAGATGTTGATTTACAATATTCTGTCACCCTAATTGTTTCAATTTAAATTCTCTTGCTGGCAACACTTACATGCCTAGTTAAATTCCATGGAATGGCTTGGGTTGGAAGGGACCTTAAAGATCATCTTGTTCCAGCTCCCATATTTGTATTATAATTTTGCCCCTTTTTTTTTTGTGTAGGAACAATGGTTTTGAAATGTCAGTTTGGCCTGGTCTTAAAACATTTGCTTTTTTTCTGGTCACTAGTGAGGTTCTGCTCTGCTGGTCCTTTTCTGACTGATGTATTTTAAAAGTTCTGACCTTGGCTTTTGTCTGCTGAAGTAAATGTGGTTCTTCTTGCTTTCTGTTCCTTCACAGGAGGTTCTTCAGAACTTGTACCGAACCAAGTCTTTTTTGTTTTTGGGTTGTGGAGAGACTCTGCGTGACCAGATATTCCAAGCTCTTTTTCTTTACACAGTAAAGAACAAAGTGGATCTAGAACATTACATGTTGGTGCTTAAAGAAAATGAAGACCACTTTTTTAAGCTCCAAGCAGATATGCTGCTGCATGGAATAAAAGTGGTGTCCTATGGGGACTGCTTCCAGCAATTCCCAGAGTATGTCCAGGATCTGACTGCTCAAATCTGCAAACAGAGAAGTCCAGGTAATGTGGCCTCTTCAACAGCACAATCTGGAGCTGGTACTGGGCAGTTTGCTCTCCCTGAACACTGCAGCTGATCCAAGGCACTGACCTTGTGTCCAGCCTTGTTGCTTGTGAGGGACATGCAGAGTTGGAGCACGTGGCCAAACTGTAACTAGATGTTTTTTTTTTAATCTGTGGATTTTTGGAGGTCTATGGATGCTTGCAGATTTAATCTTGAATTCTGGATTTGTCTCTCTGTTAGTGTTTGGTAAAGATGTTTACTTAACATATATTTATGATGTGTGAACTACTTCAGCTTATTGAGTATTACATTGTCAGAAATCTGACTTGTCAGGAAGAGAGACTAAGAGAATTGAAGGGATTAGCTGGTGGGATGAGCTGGTTGAGCCACAATATCTGACTGAGCGTAGAATGGGAAATTAAATCTGCATCCAGTAAGTGTTTCATTTAGCACACTTAGGGTTGTGAAGAGAATGAAGAGAAACAACAACTCTGTGTCTAAGGAAAGAGATTTCTTTAATGTTTTCCAAACAATGACAGTTCTGTTTTGATTTATCCAGAGAACAGAGGAAATGACCTTGGGAAGAATTGCTATTTGACAGCTCTTCTGTTTAGCATTTCAGTGAAACTGTTTTGTCTAAAATTATTCCCAGGTGGTGCATAGGAGGAACCTTTCCCTGAAAAGTGTGTGTCCAAATTAATATCCTGGTTTTTGTGACTTAATGAATATTCCAATTAAGACTGCATTATGTTTTTCTTTCCATGAAGGCTGGAAAAAAATATTTATCACACCACTGAGATTTCAGGAAGTTTTTCTGCAACCTGATTTGCATGAGACTTGTAAGAAGAGGGACCTTACTCAGATTTGGAAACCAGGCTCGACAGGGCTTAGAGTAGCCTGGGATAGTGGAAGGTGTCCCAGCCCTGACAGGGGGGTGGAACTGGATAGGCTTTAACATCCCTTCCAACCAGACCATTCTGGGATTCTAAACCTTGCTGTTTTGGGATGGTGCATACAAGTATAAAAACTTCCTGGATGCTCATGTGTGTTGCTGATGTCTCTTGCACTTCTCTAGACGCTGATCGGGTGGACAGCACAACGCTGTTGGGTAAGTAAGGTTTTTATTTTCACAGAAAGTTCCGTAAGAACCAACACAAGAAAAATACCCCTCTTATTTCCAAAGTAATTAAGTAGTTACTGTGCAGAGCTCTGATTTAGCTCTGAAAGTTTGCTGAATGCTCTTTTTTAGTCTCTGGTTTTCTTTCTGCCTAGCAGCAGGTAACTGATGGCCTTTTCAGGTCTATCAAGTGACAAATGATAGTATTACCTCAGAGTATTCTGGTGAATGCCAGTAACTTTTTATATACATTTTCTGGAGCTTTTACATGCTAACATCAATGAGATTTTTGGCTTAGATTTCCAAATACAGGTTTCTGTTTCAAAAGCCTTTCTTAAGGGGGCTAGGAAGAGTGAATCTCCAGGCGATGGTACTGAAGGTGATTGTACAACTGAGCTGTTCAGGTTGCTTTTGTGATATTTCTGTGAATAACCCAAGCAATAATACATTCCAATTGATGGAGAAGTTATAGTGAAACAACTTTAAAAGATTCCAGTCCTGAGAGATCTGTGCTGCTGCAGCCAACATCAGAATTGCATAGATATCATTTGGTACTGCATGTAAGGGCCTTTGGCAGTGCAGGAGGTGAAACCCTGCTCTTTCCCAATCAAAAAGCACACAAGCTCCAAGACACTTGTGTACAGGTGTAAAGCCAGAGATTAGTTTTGTAATTCCAATGGGATTTTAAACTTATCTTTCTCTCAACTAAGTTCATCAACCCCAATTTTAATCAAGTACAATTAGGCAGAACAGAAACCAAAACCTTCAGTACAATTTATTCCAGTCCCTCTTAACATCACTTTTAACAGTCCTCCTTTATTAACCTGTTAGCACCATCTTTAGGTGGTTTCAGCACCTGTTTACTTGTAGTTCAGAATACAGACCAAGTGAAAAACCCAAGAGGATTATTGTGTGTAATACTCCACAACCTTTTTTGAAGGAATTTCTATTCCATTCACCTTACTCTCCAGTTACACTGTTTATGTACTTCCAACAGCAGCTTACACCAAGGATTTTTGCTGCAAACTTCAGGAATGGTTCAAGTTAGGACCACTGGGGTAATCCATTTCAACCCTCCAGCTCAAGCTGGGGCCTCTGGATAAGGGATCCAGAGTCACAGTGAACTTCACAGGTGTTAAATTAGCTGTGGCAAAAGGCAGCTGATGCTGAGCTGAGTTCTTGTGTCAGTACTAGAGATCAGTTTTGGGGAGAGCTTGAGCCCAGACATGATCAGAGTTAATGTTACATGTAATTCAGGATCCAGATCTGAGAACCTTGGGGAACCAGGATTGTGTTTATCTTGCTAGCTGGTGCTTAGAATTGAAAGTACACCAAGCACATGGATGTAGCAATATTAATGTGTTTTCTTTCCCCTCTCTCACCCCAGGAACATCATGTGTGGACTGTGCTAAAAGGAAGTTAGGAGAAAGTGGCACTGATTCTCCTAAGAGGATCAAGCAGTCAGATACACCCACTCTTGAATGAAAAAACCCCAAACACCCAAGGCCCACTACAGAAGCTTTTTAACAGTAGGTGTTTTACATCTGCTGCATGGAAAGTTTTCAGCTGGTATTTTCATGATTTTAAGTGGAATAAAATTGTACATACTAGCTTTCTCTTTTCTAAAGCCATAAATGTCTCGTGTGTAAAGCTTGAGAGTCAAATAAGTCACTCCCCTGGCACTGCCAGACCACTCAGGCAGGACCTGCAGGGTCAGACAGAAGCAGATGCAACTTCTCTTTGCATCTATGTGAAGCCACCTGGACCAAATTCGTCCCCAGGTGAAGCCACCCAACGTTTGAATCTGTCAAAAGTGCCTTTGAAACAGAGGGGTTTCAGTTCTCCCAGCAGCTGAACTGCAGGTGGGTTTCTGCATTCTTCAGGGGTCTTGCAGGCTTCAGTCTCTGATCCCCAAGCCCTGAAGCACAGTGCTGTTCCACATTTATGGAACCCACAGCATGATGACCCACCTGCTTAACACTTTTGGCACGAGATTTGGTTTTTCCTTTGTCTGGTAAGGCACAAGAGCACCTGGGGAGGAAAGGCTAGAACAGTGCTGCATCTGCAGGGACAAGATGGCAGGGCTGGCACTCCCTGACCTCTCTGCAGTGGCTTCCTGTGGAAATGTTTTAAACACTGCTACATCACAGACTGTGCTGCCTGCTGCCATGGGACAGCAGGGGATTCCTAGTGTGTAAGTTTGCCCTGGCACTGCCCCCACCTGCATCATGTTGGCAGCGAGACAGAATTCTCATTGCAGCTGCCAGCACTGGTAAGCACCTGTGCTTTTCCAGCCAGCTGGCCCTCACCTCAGTGGCTGCAGGAGAGCATGTCCAGGCTGTTCTTTGTGCTGATGGTGTACCAGCACAGGTGCACCTGCCAGGGCTGAAGGATTTGTTACACCTGAGAGCAGGTCACATTGCATTGGGGTTTTACAGGAGGGCAAGGGCTGGGTCTGGCAGGTGACATTTCTGAACTGTGGTTTGGCAGGTATTCACTCTCTTGTCACACAGCCACCTCCTGCTTTGGAAAGTGACTAGTAGCAGGTCACATTGCATTGGGGTTTTACAGGAGGGCAAGGGCTGGGTCTGGCAGGTGACATTTCTGAACTGTGGTTTGGCAGACCACCTCCTGCAGTGCTGGAAAATGCTGCTTTGGAAAGTGACTAGGCAGGCTCTTGTGGATCCTAATGATCAGCTCAGAACCCTTCACCTGTTGTTTCAAGCCAAGCAAAATCCATCACTTGCATTGAGGTATTTATGACCCTCATTACTACCACTATTTAAACCCTAAAGTCATGCCAACTCCTTGTCACGTGCTTGAAGTTGGATCCACAATAGGAAATCCCATCCCTCCCCTTGCTGAGGATCAGCTTACACCCAGCACGGGTGATTCTTCCCTTGTAGATTCTGCTGAACTGTAGCTTGTCCAGCAGCCTCCTGTCCTGAGGGCCATCTGCTGTACCCTCAAAAGCAGAAGAGCAAGGGGTTATCTCCTAATACATCTGTTACCAGATTCTGAAATAAGGCACTGATGCTGACTCATGCCTCAGAGTAAATTATTTTATTCAGTGAAGTGTGGCAACAACACAAGTATTTGATGAACATCTGTATTCCTGTGAAACATGTTACACTCCTGCTCAGACCATCTTCCTCCCTGAGGCAGGATCCTCACAGGCCCAGCACAAGCCCAGGGCTCACAGCACATGACAAGGCAGATATGTGTAAGCAACACACAGGACAAAAAGAACTTGCTCAGAACTTGCTCTGTGAACACAAGATAAAATTATTAACAGCCACAAACCAAGGGAACCTCTTTAGAACACAGAGGTGGAACATAAGCCAGATGAAGTGATTCCAGCTTTCAGTTTTCTTTGCCCAGCTTCATTAACTTTAGATGAAAAATTAATTAACTTCCATCTGCTTAGATGAAAAACAGCCAGCAAAATAAGTAACTTCAGTGTACTGGGACAGCTACATAATTACATTTATGTATTATATGTTTTATATATATAAATTATATACGTATATTTCATTTGCCTCTATAGCATGACTCATGCTTTCCACTTCTGTATGAGGTGAAATCGCTCAGAGGTGAAATTTTTCAAGGTTACATCACAGCTCTCGAGCTGCATCCCAAGTTTTTGTACAGTTAACTAACACTTGTGTAAGGCTGCAGTGGAGAACTGAAGTCTGATTGTCACAGAAGTCACCCAAAATAACGAACACACTCCAGTACCTTACTGTTTTAGGAAAGAGGAAATAATCCTATTCTGAAGGCAAACAGAGGCAGCTGCAACTCAAAAAGGTCCTGACTGGAGCAGTGAGCACCTGAACAGCATGTGGCACTGTGCACTTTTCCTTTGAAAAACAAGAGGCTTGTTCTTTGGGATGCTCTACTTACAGAAATGAACCTGCAGCACTTCTTACAGCCAAAATATTTGGAACGAAAGCTTTGGGTACCAGTGTGCACACCACAGAAATAGCCTCGGGCTCTCACCCCTTAACAAAACTGCAAGGAGTAGCAGTTGATCCCTTAATATTTTGCAAAACTGCTTCACTTGAAAAGTGAACATTTCCCTGTCAACCTCTAATAGCCACATTCAAACTCAGGTTTGTAACAGCGAGCTGTGAACCCAGTTCCTGTTGTCACCTGGCCCTGACAGCATCCATGCACTAGTCGAAGAGAGAACCATGGCTGGGCTTCTCTGTCGTGTCCTGCTCTTCCTCCTCTGGGTACTCGGTAAGATCCAGGGTCAGGACTTGGCTGAACATAATGTCATTGTACTGAAAGAGGGAGGATCAGACCAGGTAACACTTCTGGGACTTGAAATAAGCATTTCATTAACTATGAGATGCAATCATGAGCTTGAGTTTCCCACAGGATGTTCCCCAAAGCCTGCATAGCAGGACACACCCAGCCACCAACTGTGTGCAACACTTCAGGTGTGACCCAGCACTTCCACAGCCCCATGTGCATCATTTACCCATCATTAATTGTTACCTCAGGACACACTCCAATCAATGCATCTGCCTTGTAATAAAACTCTTCCTTCAGGGAAATGACTATCATTTGGAACTGTTCATGTGCCTGTTCTCTGATGAAACTCGAGACCTTTGGAAAGAAACCAAGTATTGCAGTTAGTTCTGGCAACCTGGAACAATGCTGTGATTAGGGAATGGTGAGGGAAGAACTGAACTGTGCTAGCTGCAGAATTCCATCATCATTGCTAAAATGAGAAATAAAGCAGTTTTAAAAGCCAGATATTTTGCATGGTTTTAAGACAACCCCTCAGGTGTGCTGCTTTTGGAAAACATTTAAGAAAATAATGGTTCATTCCAGTGAGTAGAGCTATAAAAAAACACTAGTGCCAATGAATAACAATTTTACTTTATATAACTAGAAAGGAAGGTAGAAATCCCCAAGTAAGTTTTTTTTCAAACGTGTGAAAAGTTTGCCACTGGCTGTGTAATAACCTTAAATAGTTCACTGCAGACAGTAGCAAGTTTCTCAATAATAATGCAACTTAAAGGTAAAAAATTTAAGTTTTTAACTGGTGAGATGGCAATGTCCCACAATATAAATTAAATGCTGCATAAAGGAAAACCAGTATCTTTTTAATGAGCCCTCTACCTGCACACTTCATCTATATGACATGGAAATTAATTTTTTACTGGAAAACTCTTAGTAAGTTATGGGAAGAACTCTTGATAGTAAGTTACAAACTTCACAGTAATTTCAGAGTATAGTTCCAATTAGTGAGAGATCTGCTTTAATACATCATCCATCTCAAAGAATGGAAAAAAATAATTTCTTAGAATAAAAAATAGATACCAGTGAGTACCAGCAACAATCTTTCACAGATCAGTTCTGCCCACTTGCAGTATTTAATTTTAGCTATGTTTAAATTGAGTAATTCAGGTGCACAGAGGCAAAATCCCCTCTTTGTTTCCAGTGTTTTGACAAGAATGGTGCTCAGCACATCCTTAGGTGTAAAGGGAACCTCTCTTCTGCCAGGCAGAATGAGCCTCCTGAGAGAGGCAAAGTGCAGCCAAGTGCCTAGTGCACTCTGTTAATCATTGTCAGCACTGGTAATGCATCAAAGGCAGCCTATATGGAAATCCTCACCATGCAATGAGTACAGGATTGGGGCATGTCTGACTGCAACAGGAGTTAACAAAGTCATCCAGGTAACAAGCAGGTAAGGGTCCCTGGCCAGCTCCAGACAGAGCCAGGAAACACAACAGCCAGCCATCCCAGAGAGCTGCAGATCACCTAACACACCACAGCTTCTACAAAAAGCAAATGTGAAGTTCAGCAGTAAATGGTGTAACACCAAAGGAACCGGAGTCAGCCTGCACTGCTCCAAGTCACCAGCCTTGAGACATCTGACCCAGGAAGAATAACACACAGGAAACACAATACTCATATTCCTCCAGAACACATCATCTTAGAGTGGTCCCAAGTGAGACTCATCAGCAGAGCAGTATCTGGTAGAAGCTCAGCTCACAGAGGTGCTGTGTGATGTGTAATCTTGTTTTTAATTGTGTCACTGAGAGACAAACCCTTAAACTTCCTTAGGGATCTTCATTATAGCACCAATACATTCCAACTCATGTTGCTGAAACACGCTGCACCAAGTTAAAACAACCTCAGGGCTTAGGTAACACTTGTGGACTTGCATCCCAAGGATTATTTAGGGAATTCAGGTTTCAGGAACCTCTCACAGTGAGTCAGTGATCTCTAAGAAGGAATCTAATTCTATCTGGCAGGCACACGTGGTAGAGCTTTCCAGCTATCTGTTCCAGAAGTACCTCCAAGCAAACTCTGGGGTTCTTGGCCCATCACAGTTAATGCCATCAGGGGAAAAACAAAAATATGTGCTGTTTATAGAACTGCTCTTGTTTGTTAGGCTCTACCAAGACTGACATGAGCAGTAATGCTAGTAGGAATACTGTTCTGAAAAAGAATGCTTCTACAGAAGAAAATGCAGGCATACTTAGAGAGCTTTAGGATTCCTCCCTACAATAAAGTCCCCCTGTTCTGAGCCTCCCCCTCCCAGGGGCTGCCATCCACAGCTGCAATCTCTGCTGTTTGTGCTCCAGCCT